TTCTGCCGTGGGGGGAGGGGGGAGAGAGATGTGGGGGTGGCGGGGGTGACCAGCCAGCACCGGCGTCCCTCCCCTCTCTCTTCCTGCCAGGCTTGTCGCCGTGGAGAGAGGGGGAGGGGGGGGGAGAAGTTGAAGAGGGTGAGGGAGTGGCGGAAGTAGAAAGGTGCGGAGGGTGTGAGGTTAAAGGGGTTGACTGACAAGGGGGGTGAGGACTTGGGGGTTATTAACCAGGGGGGGTCGTTATGAGCGTGCGCGCTCATGCCCACCTAGCCCACCTCCTCTCCTCATCGGGACTTGGGGGTTATTAACGGGGGGGGGGGGGAAATCGCTATGAGCGTGCGCGCTCATGCCCACCTAGCCCACCTTCTATCCCTTTCCTCTCTCACCTCCCCCTTTGTAAAAGGAGGTTTATAAGCGGATACCCCGGGCATTGAGCGTGCGCGCTCATGTAAGCCCCCCACCTCCTCTCCTCTTCTCTCCTCTCCTCTTGCCTCCTCCTCCTTCCTTACCTCTCTGCCATCTTCCACTGCTCCTGGTTTACTCTTTCAGGGGGTGCTGACTGAGCAAGTTCCTACCGCTAGTGTAGGGGGTGTGTCAAAGTTATAATATATCCTGCTTGCTGTAGTTAGTGTAGTCGTTATTATTATAAACTGTTGGTGGTGCTCCTTCGTTGCATGTTCTGTTTGCTATTTGTACCTTGCTCAATAGTGAACTTCATCCCTTTTTGGTCAATTCCCTCCTGTTCGTGCGTCTCGTAACTCCTCCAATGGCTAAATCTGATCTCCTAAGTTAGTACCTATGTTTGACACTAGGCTACACTAATAGATGCACTTATAACCGAAATGCAAAATAGTGAACCCGGGGCCAGCTTGAAAGAGGGCTTGCCGTGCGAAACCATTTTCGAACCAAACTGTCAAGTTTCCAGTGTTTCATTGAGAGAGTTTTTAGCAGATCGAACACATCTGATTGGTTCCCGCCAAAACCGAAAGAAGGAACACAGCACGTCAGGCGTCGCACATAAGTTTGGGAAGCTGCACAACACTAGCACTGCGATCGCTCATGCACGTCCTTGCGATTTTGGGCCCAGCTTGGGGTTCAAGTTGGGCCTGGGTGAACAACCACTACTTTTGATCATACATCTCTGCTTCTGTTATTCGTAGCTTGTCTAGCCATAGAACCGTCAACTTAGGCCGTTATTGTTTCAATTTAGACGCGTAGTGATGCTGGCACGGTTGTGTAGTACTTTGTGCTGTTTCGAATGCCCTCTCGCCGCCTGTCCATCTCATCTCGCTCGCCCTCCCGATCCGATCGTCCACGCTCCGTCCGTCCTAACGCCATCCCGTCGACCGTCGCGTCGCGATCTTGTCGTCCGTCCCGTCACCGTCTTGTCGCCCTTCTGTCGTCATCTCCATCACCCCTCTCCTCCAAACACCCTCGCGTTTTTCCCCTCGCCCTCTCTCTCTCGCCGCTCCCTTTCCTGAACCAATCGCCTTCTCCTCTCCCTTCTCGTAGCTCTCTCTCTTGCCACTTCCATTCCGTCGCGCTCTCTCTCGCCACTCCCTTCCAGTCGCTCTCGGTCTCTCCCATCCCTTCCCGTCGCTCTCGCTTTCTCCCCTCCCTTCCCGTCGTTCTTGCTCTCTCCCCTTCCTACCCGTCGCTTTATCTCTCGCCAATCCCTTCCAGTCGCTCTTGGTCTCTCCCATCCCTTCCCGTCGCTCTCACTCTCGCCGCTCCCTTCCCGTCGCGCTCTCTCTCTCTCTCTCTCTCTCTCTCTCTCTCTCTCTCTCTCTCTCTCTCTCTCTCTCTCTCTCTCTCTCTCTCTCTCGCTGTTCCCTGCGCGTCGCTCTCTCTCACACCGCTCCCTTCCCGTCGCCCTAGATGCAGTCGTCGCAAAATCCTCTCCCACCCCCCATCACCCACCCCATCGCTTCTCCGCTCGCCACGAAACGCCTTCCCGTCTCCCACCCACTTCCTCTCATCGCCTGCCTCGTCGCCTTCGAGCTCGCACTCAAACACTCTCCCCACGCCCTTCCTCTCTCCCTCGTCGCTATCGCTCTTGCTCTGTAATGCCCTCTCCGCGCCCTCCTTCCCTCCCCTCACAATCTGTCTTCCCTCCCCGCATCCCGGCGTTCTTCACTTTCTTTATTTTTATCTTCTTCGCCTGATTTAACCTGTGTGTGCCATGGTGGATTTTGCTTGATCATGCCTGCGTTTGCGCAGGATTTTGCCTGTTTTTGCCTGTGTGCGCGCTGCGATTTTGCATGTGTGTACGCTGGTTTTTGTAATACGCGAATTCTTGCATGTGTGTACGCTGGCTGCTCTGGGGAATGTGGGATGGCAGGCTTGCGCCAAATTCGCTCACTGGTTTGGGTGAAAGTCGCATCCAATCAGATTTGTAAACAAGCTCCACATGCTTCCCGTTCACCGTGAGACTCGACTGGGATGTAAAAAGATATAAACGCACGTTTTCAAGTGGACCCAACTAGAAGGGGGGGGGTCACTATTTTAGCTGCTGGCTTTATATATATGGTATGCAAATACATTTTGACAAGGTAATGCGCCTTTGTCATACTACAGAAATTCCTAAGCAATTCTGCTTGTTCCTACAGCCTTTATTGTGGCTACAACAGTCAGGGACGAAAGCCATCCGCCTCGGGGCATTGGACCACATAGGGATGTGCAATTGTTCTTCGTATTTCCGCAACATAAACGGCTTACGTTAAAACCACGATCCATCCCTGTAACTGTTTTTTTACAATTTGATCCAGACAGGGATGTCGTAAACCAATATGGGCGCAACTAGCAGGCCATAGCCGTGGAAATAAGCAATTAACTTTTTTGGAATCATAACGTGTGCAAAAAAATAGGAAATATAGAGAAGCATTACACGTCCGTAGCGTATGAGGTTCATGCGTTTTCTACGTGTTCTATCGGATCGTACACATTTGCGTCGCTTCGATGTGGTGTCAGTCCACGCCCAATGAAGTGGCACTTCAGATTTGAAGCCCATGTGGACGTGACGTCACATCTCGTCACGTGGAGCGAAGTGATTAGAATATCTCCAATCAGAATTTCTTTTCAGCAAGTCATATCGTCTCATTGTGCCAAATTGGACTCAGCTAAGCAGTGCGTGCCATCTGTAGGTTGTGACGGTGTAGATTGGCTCGTCGAGGATTTGCTTGGATTGCCCGTCGAGGTTCTGGGGAGGGGCAGGTCTGTTGACGTTCGGAAACGGGCAAAATTTGCGTTTGAGTACGGTGGTGTGCAATTTAGTTTGGCTTGAGTCATGCACCGGTCTGAACCACTACTCACCAGCCTGAACAGTAACAAGTTGACATCACGTGACCCCCAGAGCATTTTTGGGCACAATATTGGGACAAATCATGCAAAATCTGGCAGCTTGTGACGTGTTGCACTGAACGGTTGCATGTTCAGGTGGGTCTGTGATTTCCGATCGACTGTGCTCGCGGTGGTTATCCACACCGATTTGTCAGATTCAGTGTCACGGGGGCAGCCAAGGTGGCTGCCGGCCCTCGTGGATGTCGAATTCATGGTGCAGCGTTGGCGAGTTGCCACGCAGATCAGTTCCCTGCTTATCTGTCAGGTCCATATGAGCTGAGACGGTCTCCCAGACCAGTGGTGCTTCTCTTACATGTGTCGTCCAGCCATTCGCAATAGAGACCACGCTGACTAGGAGCGTCACCAACCTTCCAAACATCATTGACCAATCGGCTGCCTTGGCGGGTGTTCCAGTATCCGACCAGCCAAAACTCCTCCAAGCACGCAACCACGTCATCTTTTCCCCCCTGACTGTTGGGGTTTCTTCCACAAATCGCAACCGTCTCCGGGGCAACTACAAACCTACAGCCTCGGCTGTCGTCAATAACCACCTGCTTTCTGAAACCCTAAGCGGGTAGCCGTTCACCAAACCACAAGGCGGCGGCGTTCCCAGGGACCTACACCCTGAAGTTCCCCCGCCGAGCCTCTCGGTGCTGCGTTCAGATCAGATCATACAGCTCGTTCCCTGGGGATGAGTCCCACCCCCCACGGACGACACGGTCCCCTTCCCCCTCACACTGTACCCAACCTTCTGTAACCTTCCGCATTGTTCCGCACTCCTCGGCACCGTACTTCGTCCTCGCCTTGCTTTCCTGTTTCTGCCTGATCCCTTCCATCCCAACTTCCACCCAAACCAATCCAACCAACCCTTGCTTGCCAGTCTTACTCAGCCTACATTTTACCAAACCCTTGCTCATTAGCCGTCATTTGTCGTCCTAGGTGTTGGGAAGCCGGGGTCGTTTGCGCTCTTTACAGCTATTCCAGCTCTCCTTGCTCTATGCAGATCGCGGTGCTTGCTTGTGAAAATGTCTTTCCGGACTGTGCTGCTATCCACCGGTGCCTTGGATCTCTTCCTTCTGCTGTCGCTTTCGGCGTCCCGTTACCGCGCACTAGTTTCTGCAATCAGATAATCGCCAATCAGGAGTGCCGGCGTCGTTTCAAAAGTAGTTTCCCCCGGCGTTGCGAGTCAAGGGAATTATTATCCCGAAGATCTCTCCAGGACCCCGAGCGTCGCTCTTATCTCAGACTGTACAAAGCGCGTTATTATTCTCCCTTGTGAATAGGTTCTCTCTCACTGGCGCGTCACTTCCGTGCCCTCCATTTTGCCGCTTATTAGGCCTTATTAAGTTCCTTTTTCGGAACCTTCATTTTACGTCGATTCTGAAGCAGCCATGCTCGAGCACATGCTCTCCACGGCAGCTCTCATGCCGTCTCAATCCGTCGCCGGTGCGGATCCGGGAACTTCCAGATGGAAGCGATCCCGGAAACTTACCCCAAAGGCGCTTGCTCTTCACGCCAAGTCCATTTCTCTTCACGCCAAGTCGCTTGGTCTGAAGAAGCTGGTTCCTCATGCGAGCCAAGGCTCGCTGTTCTCCAATTCATCCACTGTATACAGTAAAAAGATCTTACGGGATTCGTCCGGAAGAGTGTCCGGCATCGCGATGGGTATCCGACAGTCCATGAGCGTGGGTCTGCGTCACCACGGCTCCACGGTGGTTACAGCAGTCGAGGCCGTTTCGGGAGAGAAAATCACCGCGGAAGTGTCGAGACTCGAAACGGCCGTTCAATCCGGGAAAGGTCAGTTGAGTCGATTGGGTGTGGGGGTGGGAGTGGGAGTGGGAGTGAACACGGGAGTGGAGGACGCGGCTGATTTTGTCTACGCGGAGTTGGACGCAGCGAGAGCGCTCGCCACGATTGGAACAGTGTGTCTGTGCTCGGGAGACTCAGGGGGTTCCCGAGAATTCGAAGATTCTGACGGGGGTGTGTCTGTGGAAAGGCAAGCGGCCAGCGAGACTGCGCTGAAGGAGACGTTTTCGAGTAGTTTGATTGGCGGGATTGAACACGAGCAGTCGAACGCGAGGAAGGCGGACGCGGAGAGCGTGTTTCAAAACGTTCCGGGAATTGTGTTCCCGGATCCTGGCTCCGTCGTGAGCGTTGGTGATGCTTTCGATTATGATGCGGATGCTGGTGTCGGTGCTGGTACCGGTGCTGTTGCTGGTGCCGGTGTGGTTGCTGGTGATGGTGCTGGTGATGGTGATGGTGATGGTGATGGTGCTGGTGCTGGTCGTTTCAGCTCGTTGCGTGGGAAGCACGTGCTGCGCGTTGCTGACGAGGGCGACAGGGTTTCCATGCGTGCAGTGCGGGACGCCACGCGGTGGCTCACCAAGAGGAAGAGGACGGCGAGCCGAGTCCGTCGCGCGCGCAACCTGCGGTCTAGGAACGATCTGGTGATTCGCCTCGTGCGCGACCTGTGCGATCGCAAGCTTGCGTCCGCGGCGGCGGCTGCTGCTGCTGCTGCTGCTGTCGCCGCCTCGTCGGTGGAGGACCGCGGACGTGGCAGTTCGGCGCGCGCTGCTGGTGGTGGTTCTTACAGTCGTCGACTTCGAGATTCATCGGTTCCAGACCACAAGGTGCGTCAGGTGGACTAATTGAAGTCTTTTTTCTATTATTCTTTTATTTTCTCCTCGTTTGTTACAGTCGATTTTTGCGCTTGGATAGCAATTTTAACACACCTTGCAGTACTATTTACCATTTCAATTGAACGCTTAATCCCACAAGACACGGAATTGCTTTCTAACGGCATGAGTTGTCCTTTCAGTTTTACCCGCATATACATGAATGCTTTCCAATGTTGTGTTTAGCGCATCTTATGCAGCCGCGCCTAACTTGAGTCGTGGTTCCTTCGGCGTGTTGCAGGAGTTCTCCCTGGGCGCGATGCTTGTGGTGGCACCCGTGGTGAGCGAGCACTTCTGCCTTCCGGAAGCTGGGGCGTGGAAGCAGTTGCTTCTGCAGCAGCAGGAAAACCAGCAGCAGCACCAGCAGCACCAGCAGCAGCAGCAGCACCAGCAGCATCAGCAGCAGTTTCAGCATCGTCGCCATCAGCAGCAGTCGCTGCAACACACGGCGGGCAGCGGTGACGACGTCGTGAGCAACAACGTGGGCGTTTCCTCTTGGAGCGAGGGCCGTTACGTTAGTTTCCGTGGCTGGAGCGGCGCGAGCGGAGGAGGCGACGGCGACGACGGCGCGAATGTGGTGACTCTTGAGGTGGGGGCCGGTGGTGATTATGGTTGTGCCGGTAGCGCTGGTGGAACGGTGGTTGTGCCCGTCGGTCCCATGCGCGTTGCTCCAGCGGATCCTGCCGCTGCTGCTGCTGCTGCTGCTGCTCCTGCTGCTGCTATTGACGATGATCACGATGATGCTGACGTGACTCTTCATGCTGCTGCTGCTGCTACTGATGGTGCTATTGATGTTGCTACGGATGGTGCTATTGATGGTGATACCATTGTCTCTTACGCGGACGCCCGAGCGAGGGCTCCGCTTTTTACCCAATTCGTCGATGAATCAACCGCGGCCGCTCGGGCTCTGCAAGCTGGAGCGCCGGAATTGTCTGCGCCGGAACTGTCTGCGCCGGAACTGTCTGCGCCGGAAGTATCTGAAGGGCTCGGAGTGTGCGTTTCTCCAACTGCAGACGCACTTGCTACGAACAGAGGTTGCGCGGCGCTGCTGCGTGCCCAGACGCGTGAGGTGGAAGGAGGTGAGGAGAGCGCGAGGACGGAGGAGGAGGAGCAAGGGTTGGGTGAGCTCGCCGCAGGGGCGGGAGGGGGAGATGGAGGGATTGTTGACCAGGGAGAAGTGGTGATGGCTGATGAGGAGGACGTTGGGAACGCTGGGGCGGATGAGGAGGAGGATGAGGACGAGGAGGAGAACAAAGAAATGGTTGAGAATCTGTTGCAGTTTAAGAGAAGCGCGTCGCGCGAGGCGCTTCCGTTGCTGGCAACTGCTGTGGCGCCGGCGGCGCTTGCAACGACGGCGCTGGCGGCAGTGGCGGTGGCGGCGGTAGGGGGAGGGGCTTCGGTAACTAGATCTGTGGAAGCAACGGTGGAGAGGAACGGAGTGGGGTATGGTGAGGCTGATACTGAGTTCGGAAACAGCGAAGGTGAGGGCGTTTCGTCGCACGAAGACGCAGACATGCCTGATGCAGAGCTTGCGACAGAGGCACACGCTGCGACGGAGGCTGCGACTGCTGCGACGAGAGGCGATCTAGGAATGCTCCCGCGCGGTATCGCGCAAATCGCGCGGGGAGTCGCGCAGCAGGTCGCGCGCGAGGTGGCGGTGGTTCAGACGCTAGCGGGGGGCCTGTGCGACGGTTTGGGCGACGAGCTGGGCGACGGGGCGACGCTGGAGGTGGCAGTGCAGGGCCTGCTTCCGGATAGCTGCGCGTTGAACCAAGTGGCGGTGGTGCCTGTGGTGTGCATTCACGACGGGCACGAGGACGCGGACAACTCAGGCGACGTCCGTATGGCCGAAAAACGCAATTTCACCGCGCTCAGCCTTGCAGCTCCCAGTCACGTCGCCTCCGCCGCCGCCGCCGCAGCAGCAGCTGCCGCAGCTTCTGCTGCTGCTGTGAATTGTAATGATGGTGGTGGTGGCGGTGGTGGTGGAGGTGTTGGAGGTGCTGCGCTTCCGCTCTACGAAGTGTCTGGTGAAGGAGAGCAGGCCGTGTGTAACCCGGTTACCACCATGCTGGAGGGTCCGTGCGACGGCGTGTCTGGAGAGGCGTCGGATGCGGGCGGCAACCCGTCCGAGGTCACGGAGAGCCAGGAGACGCCGCAACTTGAGGTACGCTCGCGTCCTAGCGAAGTTGTGGTTTTTTTTTTTTTGCGGACCTGCTTGTTTTTCCCCTCTTCTGTAAATTTCGTGATTTTCCCGTCGCCACCGTCGTTAACGTTAGCGTTAGTGTTAGCGTTGTTTACGCGCAATCCCGGCCGCAGCCATTGTTTCCTGTCTGCACATGCCGTCTGGCCCCGATCTATGTTTCCCTTCCGTTTCGTTTCGATGCGGACTCGCTGTCTGCTCAAACGCGCGCGTGCGCACTCGCTCCTCTGCGCGCCGCTTTCGTCTATGCATCATATACCTCTCCGCCCGACCCCCATCCCAGCGTCCCCCCTCCGCCCCCGCTCCCCCCGTTTTTTCCGCCCTCCTCGTCTGCGCGCGCATGATCCAGGAGCGTGAGCAGGGTCTCTGCGAGTCTAAGCACGCGCACGGGTCAATCGAGGGGCCTCTCCTCCCCCCTGAAGAGCAGGTGCGCGCTTCTCCCCGTCCTGGATCTTGTCCGTCGTTTTGACACTACCACTCGGGTCGAATTTGCCTTGCCGCCTGTTATGATATTGCATCTTGGTTTTCCTTTGTTCCAGCTTCCTTTGTGTCTCCTTGAATTGGAATTAACGCGTCGTTTGCGCGCGCGCGCGCGCGTGTTTCTTGCGCAGGTGGCGGACGATTTGGCTCGTTCAGTTCAGGCGCAGGAGGAGGAGAACAAGCGGTTGAGAGAGGTAAGAGTGGGTTCGGATGGCTGGTTTGTGGAAGAGCATGATGGCATGGCGCTGTGGTATGTCGTATAACGAACGAAACGAAACTGCCAGAACATGGGAATGAAGCAAGTATAGAGCGGTTGCAGCTTGTTTGTGAGCAGTCGATGGGTCTGTAGTGAAAGAAATTTTGTTTCACCAAAACAGGAGCCGGAATTTATGGCTTTTACACCACTAAATTGGTTCTAGTCCTTGACGCGCGTTGCTATTTGGAGCATTCGTACCTGCGTATACCCAAAGCGTTTCAGTGCTGTGCCAGTTCTCGTCGTTCGCTTGAATGCGTGGGCCAGGCGAGTCGTGAGAGGCGGCTCACTGTTCACGTCGAGTCTGCACAGTTAATCTTGTGCTTGTCCATGTTTGACTGACTGTTGTGTTCGCCCATGCACTCTCCTCCCGTCCACTTCACTGAGCAGGCGTTGACAGCAGCGCGTGCCACATGGAAGGCTGTGCAGGACGAGAACAGGCACCTGCTGCAACAGGTATGCCTGTTTGTCATGTAGGAAGTGTTTATTTTTATTTTTATTTTTGCCCTGGTCTTTGGTGTGCCCTTGAGGAATGGGACGGAGAAGTACATGAGAAAATAAAGCAGGCGGAAAAAAAAAAAAAAATCGCGTTGGTGAACTTGCACCGCTCCAAGGCACCACCTTGTTTTTGAATTTCCTCTCCTTCATCGCCTTTTTCCTCTCTCGTGCCCTCGTTGTTCTCCCAACTAGATGACTCTCCACGGAATCCAACTGCCTGCGTGTGTGACCGCCAAGGTGCAACAGCTCAACAAATCCCCTCCGCCATCGTCGCAGCAGCAACAACCACAGCAGCTGCAGCAGCAGGATACCGCAGCAAGTCCTCACTTCTCTCCTCCGCCCACCACCACCACCTCCTCCTCCTCCCCAGCAGCTCCAGCTTCAGCGCCAGCAGCAGCGCGTTGCCCCCCAGCCCTCCCCCCGTTCCTCTCCCCGTTTGCCCCTCCCCCGCCCTGGGCCTGCCTCTCCCCGCATCCCGGCAGACTGCCCCTTCCGCCCTTTTTCCGCTCATCCGCGCTCCCCCTCCCCGCACTGTTCCACAAGGGCCTTCCCGCGGGCCCCTGCCCCCCTGCTTGGTTCTCCCGCTCAGCCCCCCCTGCGCCACTTGCATGGGTGGGCATCTCTCCCCCCCCCGCGCTCCTCCCTCCCCAAGCCGCGGGTGCTGCCGCCGCTGCTGTGACTGCTTCGAATGCCACCACTGCCACGACTGCTGCCACGGCTGCTGTGGTTTCAGCCGTGCAGGGCGCAGCGGGAGCAGGAGGGCAGGGCGTGGTTGCAATGGTTGCGTCTGCTGAACCTGCAGCTGCGGCATCTGCTGGTGCTGCTGGTGCGGCTGCTTCTGCTGCTGGTGGTGGCGCAGCGTCTGCGGCTGCACCGGGTGATGGTTGTGTGGGGAATGGTGTGGATGGAGATGGGGATGGGGCTGTGGGTGGTACCGGGGAAGCTGATAACGAGGAAAAGAAAGTGGTCGCGGTTGCCTCTCCTGGTGCTGCAGTTAATGCAACGAATCAGACCCAACCGCCTGCAGCCTCTGCTGTTCCTGCTTCATCATCAGAAGCTGCGCCCACCACTCCTGACGCTCCTGCTGCTGCCCCTGCTGCTGCCGCAGTAGCATTATCATCTGCGTCTGCCGCCGCTCCTGCTTCTGCATATGCGTCTTCTGCTGCAGCTGTTAAGACCGTGTCTACCCCTCTTGCGTTCTCCTCATCCTCCACTCCTTCCCTTTCGGCCAGTTCTCTACGGCCTCTTTCAATGATTCCCCCTTCCTCGCTCTTCCTCCCCTCAACTGCGTTTCACCACCACCACCGCCACCACCAGCAGCAGCCGCTGCTGCCAGCGCAGCAGCAGCCACAGCCGCAGTCCCAACAGCCGCCGCAGCAGCAGCAGCAGCAGCAGCTGCCATCGCCCTTCCCGTTCTACTTCCCGCCATCCTTCTTCTCTGTCCCCCCGCACGTGCACCCCGCTGCGCTCCCCCGTCGCACCTCCCCACCCACTGGCGCTGCCTCTGCTGCCACCACTGCCACTGCCAGAACAAATTTCGGGCATGATGTGAGTAAGCAGCAGTCCCGCCGTGCTTCTCTAAGGCCCTCCCCTCCCAGTAGCTTCCCTACCGCTAGTGCTGGAGGGGGTTGCTCGGGTGGTTCTGCAGACGTTGCACATGCTGCGTCTGCTGCTGCCGCCGGATCCTCTCTTATGAGCGGTGCTGGTGCTGCTGGGAAAGATGGGGTGGAAAACAGTGGCCTAGGCGGTGCAGGAGCTACAGGCGGCTCAGGGGTGAATGCATTCGGAGGAGGTGGTTGTGGAAGTGACGGGGTATCGTCAGGAGCAGCAGGAGGGGGTGGTGCTAATGGCGTTAGTGGTGCGAGTGGTGCTAGTTGTGCAAGTGGAGTTCCCCGGGTTGCCAAGAAGGCTCAGAGCAGGCTGAAGGCTCGAGCACTGCAGTCCAGCAGCAGCAGCAGCAGCAGCAGGGGCGCCAGTAGCCGTAGCGCCAGCAGGAGGGGCATCAGCTGCAGCAGCAGCAGCAGCAGCAGCAGCAGCAGCAGCAGCAGCAGCAGCAGCAGCAGCAGCAGCAGCAGCACCGGCAGTTCTGGCACCAAGGGGGGCTGTCGTTACTGCTTCTGCTTCTGCCGCAGCAGCGGCCGCGGTGGCGGCTGCTTCAGGCTCTACTGCTGCGTTTGCTGCTGCTGCTGCTGGTGCGCCCAGGCTCTTCCCCCACTTCCGCACCGGATCCACTCTCCCTGGGGCATCGTCTATGGGCCTCATGCCGCTGCCTCCTGGCTTCCCCGTGCCTCCACCGTCGATTCTCGCCGCTGCTGCTCGCTCTCAGTTTCTGATCTCCAGAAGCCACATGCCCGTTCCGTCTTCTCACCCCAGTCATGCCCATCCTCAGCTTCATCATCAGCACCATCAGCATCAGCAGCACCATGTGGCAACGCCGCCGTTTCATGCAGTGCCGGATGCCGCAGGTGCCGCAGCCTCTGCTGCTGCTGCAGCGGCAGCGGCGGCGGCGGCTGCTGCTGCCGCTTCTAGGAGCCGCAACTCCGCATTCAGCCTCCCCATCCGCCCCATTTCACGCAAGTCGGGGGTATCGCCTTGCCCTCCCCTGACTCCGCGTCCCTCACCCCCAGCCGGCCCGTCTTCTGGTGCGTCAGGAGCATTGCTAGCAGCAGCAACAGCCGGCGCTGCTGCCGCCGCTGCTGCCTCTTCCTCTGCTCCTGGCGCCACAGCTTGCAGCGTGGCCGCTGGTAAATTCGTCGATGATTCCGTACCCGAGAGTAACAACAACAGTTTTGTTGCAGTTTCAGCTGGTGCTGCTGGTACCACCACCAGGCCTTGGGAGAAGAGGACCTCCAGCTCTTCGTCCCCGTCTGCAGCAGCAGGAGGGTTATCAACAGGAGCAGCCTCTGCTGGAGAGGCTGTAGGATCGCCCCCTTCTTCCCCCGGTGCCATTGCTTCAAGTCCTGGTGGGAAGAAGCGCGCACGGGACGAGGGGGGGACGATGTGGGACGGGATCTGCAGCCCGGTCAGTCTCTTCTTCCCGGTTCTGGGGTGTTTGCAACTGAAGTTCCAGCAGCAGCAACAGGAGGAGGAGGAGCAGGAATAGCACCAACAGCAGCAGGAGGAGCAGCATTAGCATCAGCCTCGGGAGGCAGTAGTAGTCAAGTCACAAGCCCGCGACCCTCTCCTCCCCACACACCGGGCGAGAGCGCCACTAGAGCCAAGATCAAGACTGAATCAGCTTTCACGCACGCCGCAGCGTTCCCCACGCCTCCTTCTGTCCGTATCCCCGCCCCCATGCCCATCCCTGGTGTGCGCGTGCAACCAGGACCCATGCCTGAACCGCTGGTGGTGCTGCTCCCAGGGGGGGTGCGAATGCCGTGCCCCTGGCCTGCCCCTCTCCCCCGCCCTCCGATCATGCCGATTTCATCAGGAGTGGGAGGAGTGGGAGGAGTAGGAGGAGGATGTGTGGTGGGGCCAGTGGGTGTCGGCATGGGAAATGCAGCTGCAGAGGCGCGGAAGCGGAGGAGGGAGGTGAAGAGGAGCAAGGGTATGATGATGGGTCAGACGACGGTGGCGGGTGCGCAGTTTACTGCCGGGGGTGCTGCTGCTGCTGGCGGTGGTGCTGGTGGTGATGGCGCGGGGTCGGCTGTTGCTGGTGCTACAAGTGCTGCTGCAGCAACTTCTGGTGCTACTAGTGCTGTTGCTGCTGGAGTGTTTGTTCAGGTGCCAGGGGAGGCATTGAGAGGTCTCGGGTCAGCCACAGACGTTTCTTGCCGCCCTGCCCTGCTCTCTACTGCCCCCACCTGTTAACCCTGAATGTCACTGCTGCTGCTGCTGCTGCTGCTCCTCCTGCTGCTGCTGCTGCTGCTGCTACTGGCTCGATCCAGTTCATTCTCAGTGGTTCTTTGATTCACAGTGGTTCTGTGTTGTGGCTTCAGTGCTTCCCGGTGTTTCTCTGCTGGGCTGAGAGCTCCACATTACAGGCCTTGATAAACCTCCGCCAGTTTCCAGTTCCTCCCACTCACGCCCTCCCGCTGTCAACCAACCGCTCTCCATCACTCGCTTCCTGCACCCAGCATTTACCCACCCGCCACTACACCCAACACTGTTGGTCAGCCAAATCGTACCTATACCAGCATTGCATTCGTCGCCTGTCAAGCTGTTTCCATGTCCCTGCGTCCACCACTCTGTCGAAGCCGGTTCATTATCTTCGCGCTTACCAAATCTCGCCGGCTCCTGCATCAATGTGTACATCCTGTGCATACTGTATGGTTGCACTGGTGCTGCTGCTGCTGCCACTGCCATTGCCGGCAATCATCCCTCGTCTGTACCTCATGTGCATATGGCATGCATCTGCTCATTCAAGGCTTTGACCTTACATGGCTCAGCAGCAGCTTTGCATCTTTCCATTCTGTTTTCCCCGTTCATACCAGTTCACCTGGCTCATGCAGCTGTGGCGCACATACCGGTACATGCACATCCCACATATGCCAGTCATAAGCCACACACACAGTGCACTTGGTTTCAGGTTGCTTTGTTTTCATGCATGCCTTGACGCGCGTCCAGCCCACTATACATAGACATGCAGCTATGCATTCATTCATGCTGCACGTGTTCAAGCATGTACGTGCCTTGCGATGTCAGTCTGTGTGGTTAAGTGTGCTAGACTTGACTCTGAATATCTACCTTGAATGTGACTGCTTTCTTTTCTTGCCTTTTTTTTTATGTAGGGTCGGATCAGTCAGAACAGTTTTGCTTTGTCGTATCGTATGTCTCCTTTTATTCCTTATTTCCTGATTTCCGTTTTATACCAATTCACATTGTGGCCGATGGAGCTACGGAGGGCATCTGAATCGTTAGGCACTCTGGTGTAGTTGTGAAGGGTTTTGATTAAAACTTAGCATCAGTGAAGTTGATGTCCAGAACCTTGTGTCAGATGATGAAAGTGTTGGATAGAACTTTTCAGAATGAAATAAGTCCGTGTAGCGTTTATCTGTTCAAGGTGCTATTTTGGCACAGTTGAGATTCAAACTCCTCACATTTCTGGCGTCAGATCTTGGTTGCGTGGCGATCGCGGCGATGCGTCTCGTCGACATGGCAAGAATCTACAGTCCTTGTGTACACTTCACAGGAGCAGCCAATCCCTTCATAAATCCCTGCTGACGTCGCCATGGCCTCTGGGAAAGGAAGTTCCAGACATTGGTGAGGCGACGCCACGAGGGCTCCGGCACGCAAAATGGTTCGTCCGCAGGCTGATGTGTGATGAACGGACTTCCCCCTCCCCCCATTTTCTCCGCTTGCTCCATAGCCTGCGCAACCATACAGGTTTCATACTTCCTTGTTCCTGGGCATCGCCACTGCATCTAACGGCTGTTATTAACTTGACAAAGCCTTCCCTCCAGTCGCTTGCCAGCATGGCTTGCCTCGCTTCTCCCAAGCGGAATCAAGAGCCGGAGATTTTGGAATACTGTACTTCTTCGCATCCCCCTCCCTCCTTCGCAAACCCCCCCCCCCCTTGTCCTCTTCCGCGTTCCCGCTCCCCCTACTCTCCTTCCCCATTCCGCTGACCCCCAGTTACCAGAATCTCAGATTCCGCATGCTGCGATTGCATGGCATGTGATGAATGTTTTCTTCCGAGGGTGAGCTTTGAGCGAGCTACTTCTACACCATCTGCCTTGAGCATCAGGCATTTCTGCTCTTCTCACATCGGCCTTCTAGCCGATCAACTCTTCGAATCTACTGTCACGTCTTGTTGTCAACCTCCCCTTCAGCCACTATGGCCACTATCGCTGCCGTCAAGGCTCGCCAGATCATCGACAGCCGTGGCAACCCCACTGTCGAGGTCAGTCGCACGTAGATCTAGATGCCTGTTGGCTGCAGTTGAGCACGGACTGTTTTCTTCCGATTTCGAGATGTCTCTAGCACCATCCGTCGTTCTGAAAATTAGATTTGTTGTACTGATGGTCTGCTCATTTTTCACGTTCGGTCACGTGTTGCAGGCTGATGTCCATCTTTCTGATGGATCCATGTACCGTGCTGCGGTTCCTAGCGGTGCCTCTACCGGTAAGTCATCTGAAAGCTTCCTCGTTTCCTTTTTTTCTTTTTTTTCTTTTTTTCATTCAAGAAGCTTTCCAGTTGTGATGCGTCGCTAACTTTTTGAACTCCTTTCGCATCTTTTAAAATGGTTCAGGTATCTATGAGGCCCTCGAGCTGAGGGACGGAGGCAAGGAGTACATGGGCAAGGGTGTGCTCAAGGTGCGTACTTCATCACTCGAATCAACCATCACCCTTTTCCACTGCCATGTCTTTCGCTTCCGTCATCATATCTCTTCCTATCCTGACTCATTGTCACTCGCTTGCTGTTGCCATGATCGCATTTGAGCCTGAAATTCGTTTTCTAAATGTCGTTTTTTTTACCTGCAGGCTGTGAACAATGTGAACACCATCATCGGCCCTGCTCTGGTCGGCAAGGACCCCACCCAGCAGATCGCCATCGACAAGTACATGGTGGAGGAGCTCGACGGCACCCAGAATGAGTGGGGCTGGTGCAAGGGCAAGGTGCGGCTTGGGATTCACACGATCTTTCATTGCCACGACCGCGTCTGGCATTCATTGAACATGACAGGTTTTTTCTAGCTCCTGATTGTTCGTTCCTTACGAATTCCTGATTGTTTGTTCCTTGATGTTTGCAGCTCGGCGCCAATGCCATTCTTGCTGTGTCTCTCGCCGTTTGCAAGGCGGGCGCTGGTGTTCTGAAGATCCCGTTGTACCAGGTACTGTATCGATCCTTTCTCCTTAACCCTGTGAAAGTTACTCTGTGGGTGTGAGCCAACCTTTTCGCCAGAGTAGAGATAACAAGAGCTGATAATCTAAGCAGCCTCCGTTGTTTTACTGTCGCCCTTTCTATGTTTCCTCGAACAGCACATTGCCAATGTCGCCGGCAACAAGAAGCTCGTGCTGCCCGTGCCGTCCTTCAACGTCATCAACGGCGGCTCTCACGCCGGCAACAAGCTGGCGATGCAGGAGTTCATGATCCTCCCCGTGGGAGCCAGCTCCTTCAGCGAGGCCATGCGGATGGGGTGCGAGGTGTACCACCACCTCAAGGCCGTCATCAAGAAGCAGTACGGCCAGGACGCCACCAATGTCGGCGATGAGGGTGGCTTCGCTCCGGCCATTCAGGTATATTTTTTACGCCAGGTTGTCGATTTTTGCTTCGCGACGGGATTTTTTTATCTGGTCTGCGAAATGCTCTTTCGACTCACTAAGTAATGCTGTTTCGTTCATTACTAATCTTTGGAGGCATTTCTTTGTACTCTGATCGATGTTGTGCGGTGCAGGACAACAGGGAGGGTCTCGAGCTTCTCAAGACCGCCATTGAGAAGGCCGGCTACACTGGCAAGGTGATTAATGGGCTGGGATGGGGTTTAGAAAAAAAAATTGCCTTCGGATCCAGGAATTGTGTAAGCTGTGTTCGGTTTTCATCCTCTTCGCGTCGACAGATGTGGGAAAATACAGTTTAGTAGTCTGAGCTTGAACAAGATGCGGAATTGAAACACTCAGACCTAAGTACACACCCGTTCACTAAAGAAATCGAACCTTGGATATGGCTCCTGATCTTTCGGTATCTTTTTACGGCTGTCTTAGCAGGTCAAGATCGGCATGGACGTGGCTGCCTCCGAGTTCTGGAAGGCCGACGATAAGACCTACGATCTGGACTTCAAGACCGAGAATAACGACGGCAGCAAGAAGCTGTCCGGAGCTGCCCTGACCGCTCTATACGAGGAGTTCTGCCGCGACTACCCCATGGTGTCCATTGAGGATCCCTTTGACCAGGATGACTTCGAGGCCTACCCCAAGCTCACCGCCTCCATTGGCAAGGACGTGCAGATCGTTGGCGACGACCTGCTTGTCACCAACCCCAAGGTAACATGTAAACCAGAGATGCCTCTTTTGTCCTCTTGGTCATTTCTGCCTGTCATGGTTGTCATTGCAGCTGTTCAGTATTGGTCTCTTACTCATTTTATCTATCTCTACATCTTTCCTCCGTGCAGCGTGTGCAAAAGTGCATTGACATCAAGGCCTGCAACGCCCTGCTGCTCAAGGTGAACCAGATCGGAACCGTCGCTGAGAGCATTGAGGCTGTGCGCATGTCCAAGAAGGCGGGCTGGGGCGTCATGGCCAGCCACCGCAGTGGCGAGACTGAGGATACCTTCATTGCTGATCTCGCTGTCGGCCTTGCCACTGTAAGTTGGCTTCTAAATGTGTGATCGCAATGACAGTTAGTAGGCTTATTTATATTTTTCCTGTTTTTACTCATTTTGTTCCTACATGTCATTTTCGTTCTACAGGGCCAGATCAAGACTGGTGCTCCTTGCCGCTCTGAACGCCTTGCCAAGTACAACCAGGTCAGTAACCCTTCATGCATGGTCCCACAGATTTGTCCTTCGGAAATTGCCTACCTTGGCTTTACAATGTCGCCTTACTGAATTTTCCTGTGCTCCCTTTTACAGCTGCTGCGCATTGAGGAGGAGCTTGGCGCCAATGCTGTGTATGCTGGGGAGAGCTTCCGTGCTCCCTGCGAGCCTTATTAGATGCGCTTCACCTGATGAAAGCGCCTTATACGCATGTGGAAGCATTGCTTTAGTTTAGCTATGGAATGTTGTACCATGCAAATAGTAGCAATTTGGGAAGCAAGTTACCAAGAAATTCAATTTCCTAGTATTCACATCAGGAGCTCCGTTTCCTAAAGTCTGCTTCGTATGGTGAATCTACCCTTTCATTTGAAAGTTTGGATGCCTCAATTGTCAAAACATTCACTGTGATTGAGAGAGCTGGCTTAGAAGTGTTATTGTGAGAGCTGGCTTAGAAGTGTTATTGAGAGAGCTGGCTTAGAAGTGTCAAAACATTCACTGTGATTGAGAGAGCTGGCTTGTGTTGAGAAAAACGTGTCTCATCATGTAAGGAAAACCCTTTTTTCCTTACTGGGGTTTACTCAACCGCGTACAACCCCAACTTTCGGAAGTGCACGTTCGGCCGCTTTGCTTGCTGCCGAAGCAACCTCGCGTCGCCTTCGGCTTTCCATTGCCCAACCTGCACCCAACCTCGCGTTCCCGAGGTTCCCGCCTAGCTAGGTTGTCTCGCTATATAATCGCATGCCTTTCATTGTATCGTCAATTCATTGAGTCACAGCCTCGTTATTCGTTATTCCGCGCAACTCTGTTTGACAACTCATAACACCTGGTATCAGAGCTACTTTCCTAGTTCACCCCGCTTTTCCAGGGTAGTTTAGAGGCACGGGTGTGACTGGTACGGTGGGCTGCAAAGCGGTTGGTTGCAAAGTTTATTAAATTAAACTTGCCCGACCCCGATAGCTTTTGCGCTTGCACTGTTGAAGGATAGTCACGGATACCCACTTGCCTACTAGACGTAGCTTGCGACTCATGGATCAGGCGGCATTTGACGCGTTGATGCAGCAAGTGGCGGAGATGTCGGCAGGCATGAAGGCGTTAACGACAGAAGTGGAGAGACTACGTGAAGAAAACAACGAGCTACGCCAGGCGCGAGGTGAAGCGCGCCAGGAGTCGCCCGCTGAAGAAGGCGAGAGCACTGGTCAAGCGGTGAGCGGCAATCCGTTGGAGGAGCTCACACGCGGCTTCGAAGAAGAAGATAGGCAGCGAGCGGCGGAAGCGGCAACAGTTGCAGTGACAACAATCAAGATAAAGCCTACGAGCCCGCCCCCGTTCAACCCTACAGACAAGAACGCTACTGTTTGTTGGGCTGAGATAGCCCCTTAGGATCTTTTCAGGGGAGAACTCTGGATAGGACAATTGTAATAGCGGAAGCTTTCAGTGAAGAAATTGTGAACCACCTTGCGCTAGTATGTGAGGGCAAAGTAGATTAATTATAACAAGAGAGTACAAGAATATATAATAATGTAGGAAATATCAAGGGATACAGTTATAACTGCTTTTGCTGTTGCTGTTGCGGTTCGATACAGTACGACTCGGGCAACTGCTCTGTAGCGAGTCAGTTGTATGTCCTTAACTGTCGCGCTGTACTTGTCGGGTCAAAGATCGCTGACCTTTGACTTTCGCGTAACCTCCAGCAACCTCTTCAACCCCCGAGGGTTGACTCGCGGGTGCTTCGGTGTAGTTTGCCTCGCTTCTGATGCGGTGTTTTCGACACGACTGAAGCGCTTAAGTTTTATTGTTTCCAACACTCCCCTTCGCTTCTGGAGTGTCGCTGCTGGTGACGTGGCTTTGTCCAGTCAGCAGCATGCAATACTCGAACTTTTGCTTTCCGAGTTTCTTGGTCAAGTAGTCAGCTGCCATCTCGGATGTGGGGCAGTATGACAGCTCGAGTCTCCCCTTCTCGATCTCGTCCTTCACGAAGAAGTAACGTAGGGCAATATGTTTCGTCCTGTTCGCGAAGCCGTTCTTGTTGGCGATGCGAATTGCTGACTGGTTGTCGCAGAACACGTTAAAGTTGGGTAACTCAGCTAACTTCGCTTCTTCCAGCAGCTCGCGAAGATAGAGTCCTTCTTTGGTGGCTGAGCAGAGTGCGATATATTCTGCTTCAGCTGAAGATAGCGCGATTAACTCCTGCTTGCTTGACTGCCAGGAGATAGGACCGATAGGCTCGAGGCGGTAGACGTAGCCGGTGCGTGAGCGCCTGTTGTCGGTGTCGCCGGCATGATCGGCATCGACGTAGCCGATTAACTTGGTCGGTGTAGCTGCGTTCTTATGATAAGTTAGGCCGATCGTCGCGGTGCTGATGAAGTAGTGAAGAGCGCGGTCAAGTTCCGCCAGGTGTTCTGCTTCAGGCTTCTTGAGATAAGTGGCGAGCTGGCTTGCGGAGTAGGATAGGTCGGGTCGGCAGGTGACGGCTGCGAAGAGAAGGCAACCTAGCTTCCTCTGATAGTCGCGTATGCCGGCGGGCTTAAGTACAGCAGATTCCTTGTCGGTTCCTGTCGTGTAGCGGTATGGTGTTGAGATCGCGGCTGGCGTAATATTGAATCGTTTGGCGATGGTGTCGGCGTACTTCTCGGCGCTGAGGTAGATCGCGTTGTTATCTTCTCGAATGTTAAGTCCGAGGTACTGTGTGACGGTAGATAAGACAGTGAGGGTGAGGTCCTTCTGCAGCTCCCCTTCGAACCAGGTGGTGATGCCGTCGGTAGAACCGATGTAGAGGAGATCGTCCACATAGACGATTAGAAGAATGTAGTCAGTGCTCTTCGTGAGGCGGTACATGCCCTGATCGTGCGGGAGTTGTTTGAAGCCGATGCGGATGAGGCGAGCGTGCAGGTACTGTTGCCACAGTCGCGGCGCCTGTTTGATCCCGTAGAGCGATTTTAGTAGCTGGCAGACGTGCGTGGAATTTGTATTAGAGCCGTGCGGTAGTTCCACGAAAATCTCTGCATCGACCGGTGCGTAGAGAAATGCGTTCGCGACGTCGATTTGGCGCAGTTTCTTCTTCTTCATAGCGGCGATGGCGAGAAGAATTCGAAGTGAAGTGTGGCGGCTGACCGGAGCGAAGGTTTCAGTGAAGTCTCGTCCATGTTCCTGGTCGAAGCCGCGAACGACCCAACGTGCTTTGAACTTGTCGACGGTGCCGTCGGCCTTGGTCTTCACACGGAAGACCCATTTCCCGGTAAGAATGGTCTTGTTTCGCGCTACGCCGATGGGAACGACTTTCCAGGTGTTGCGCTCCTCTAATGCCTTCAGTTCCTTGTCAGAAATAACTGAGCAGGAATGAAATGAACTAGCACAGAGTTTGGTACAAGTAGGAAACCCTAACTTTGAGTACCCCCTAAGGTGTAACCCACTACAGCCTACATAATATAAACATGCAATGTTTGACACACCCCCATAGGCGCAGTGGGAGACAACCACAGGCTCACAAGACCAGTCAAAGCAAAGCAAAGCAAGCTCAGGGTGGATCTCAAGGATTCCACACAAATTCCGAGCACAAGCTAGCGGTCACAAGACCAGTTCACATGCAGGTTTATAACAAAGCAAGAGATACAGTGATCACAACCTAGCAAAAGTAAACAAGTAGGCATATATATATAGTGATCACAGTACAAGCAAGGTCAAGAGGTAAGCAAGTGAGGCCCAGTAGGTACAAGGCCTAGCAGAGTGCAAAAGCGCTGATGGTCACAAGGCTGAAGCGCCTTGGTGAACACATCAGCAGTGTTGGCCTCCGTGGCCACGTAACGCAGACAAAGCTGACCACGCTGCTGCAGCTCTCGAGCAAGGAAGTACCGCAGAGCGATGTGCTTCGTTCTGTGCTCCAGTCTGTGCTCCTCACACAAGGCAATGGCAGCCTTGTTGTCGACGTACAGCACTGGAGGAGAACGAGGCCGCTCTCCGAGGTCGGTCAGCAGGTAGGTCAGCCAGCGTAGTTCCTGAGCAGCCATGGCTGTGGCGTAGATCTCAGCCTCACAACTGGAGCTGAGAACAGAAGAAGAGCGAGTAGAACGCCAAGAAACTGAGCCAGAGCCAAGGCTGAAGGTGTAACCCTGGGACGACCGCTGAGTAGCCTGGTCGTCTGCCCAAGAAGCGTCTGAGTGCCCTGTGAGAACAACCCGGTCTCGCCCTCCAAGCACAAGCCCCATGCCCGACGTACTGCACAAGTAGCGCAACACCCTCTTAGCAGCATCCATGTGCTCCTTCCGGTGACGGCCAGGAGCGACATAGCGTGCTAGGATGCTAAGAGGGTATGCAAGGTCAGGTCGAGTGCAGGTCATCAGGTACATGAGGCAGCCCACAAGCTCTGGATACGGGCCACTCGGCTCTACGGACTCATCCGAAGGCAGAGCTGAGAGCGAGTGACCGGTAGGCAGAGGAGTGGACTGAGGCGAGGAGTACGTGAAGCGGAAGCGCTGGAGAACCTGCTGCACCATGTGTGACTGAGTCAGGGTGATGGTGCGCCGTGCTCTGTCCCGGGTGATCCGCAAGCCAAGATAGCTCGTCAGCTCACCCAGGTCTGTGCACGTGTGTCTCCTCTGCAGCTCCGACTTCACGTGAGCGAGTGCCGCGGTGTCAGCAGTGGCAAAGACCAAGTCGTCGACGTACACGAGGATGTAGAACGGCGGCAGCGAGGTGTCGGTGCGTAGAAACAGCGACGGGTCAGCAGTAGAGGGAGCGAACCCAAGAGCCGCAAGTGTCGTCCTCAGTGTGTCGTGCCACTCACGTGGCGCCTGGCGGAGACCGTAGACCGGCCGCTGAAGCCTCCACTGGGTACCAGGAGGAACTGACCCAGTGAAGCCAGGGGGGCGGCGCAGCCAGATCTCCTCGTGCAGGCTGCCCTGCAAGAAAGCAGTGCTGAAGTCAAGAGAGTGAAGCTCGTAGTCGCGGTGAGCGGCTATGTGCAGCAGCACCCGAAGAGTAGTCATCTTCGGGGTGGGGGAGAAGGTCTGAAAGAAGTCTACTCCCTCTCGCTGACTGAAGCCTCGAGCCACGTAGCGCGCCTTGAAGACAGGTGGAGAACCCGGCGGCCGCTTCACCCTGAAAATCCACATGCCACTGACGATGTTCGCCCTAGGAGGGGGAACCTCGTCTACGTAGGTGCCTGTGGACTTCCAGGAGGC